ATCTATCTCTCTCTATATATATATATATATACAAAGGCAAAAATGCGTACTGTCAGAGTTACTAATTCGAACTTTACTACGACGTTTCGAGCGGGGACCACTCTTCATCACCTAATGAAGAACGGTCCCCGCTCGAAACGTCGGAATAAACTTCGAATTAATAACTCCGACAGTACGCATTTTGACTTTACATATATATATATATATATATATATATATATATATATATACATTTTACTAATACAATGTCTGGACATTTACACTTACCAAGTAACCATTTTCAGCTGTGATTTGAGACTGTTGCGCTTATCCCGCTCTTATTTATTTATTTTTTGTTTCTCTTGTTTCTGACCTTTTTAGTATAGGCTTCCACCAGCTCGCTTGCGCGTGAACTCTAATTTCAAGTGAAACAAGTTTGTAAATTAGGGCGACACTATATAGGTTTGAAATCCTATACCAATTTTATTGCCATTTGGTGAGCCACGTACGAATTTTGAAATATATCTTTTCATCCAAATAATCGATTAGTAAATCGAATAGCGATTCGGACGAATTTACTACGGCGGGAAGAACGAATTTGCAAATCTCATGGCAATTAGGAAATTTCAGCCATCCTTGGTTTGCGATTGGTCGCGCTCAGTTGCGGCTCCCTCCGCACAGAGTAGCCTCGAGTCAGAATTCGCGGAGTCTCTACTGACCGGCCAAAAAAGTGCGGCGCTTCAACTGCTCCCGCCCAGACGACTTGATGTATTTGTATACGCCCATGACATCGGCCGCGATCGGCGATTGAGGTTCCGCTAGCCGACGCAAGCGTCAGCGGACGTCTCATATTTCCATACTCTCACTACAGAAACAAAAACAACAACAAAAAAATCATCCAGTTCATGCTCACTATGTTCACCACTGACAAGATAGTTGGTAGTTTACGAGTTTCCGTGCAAAGCCGATCAAAACGAGGCACCAGATCAACTTTTACGGCTGCCATCAGGAAAGATCTGGCTTGTCGCGTGCCCTGAACGTCACTCCGAATATTTTTTGTGCCCCACGCACCATCCTCTTGTAGCAATATTTTTATTGTCCCCATGTGATTTCTTTTTTATGTTCTTACTGGTGTTTGATCATAATTCGGTCATTGAAATAGTTTTTGCTGCCGACCCTACCATTATTTTGACCCTCTGGCAGCAAAGGAATATTATGCCGGCATTACACACGAAATAAGAATGTAGACACTCCGTCCCATATCTCAAATTACATCACAACGTGTTTACACAACTGTAGTGCAGAGGTACGATGAGCAGGGTCTGAGAAAATACTAGTTTCAGTATTTTCAAAAGAGCGACGAAACAAAATAAAGAAAGGACCGCCAATCGGCAGCGCGTGCAAGCAGAGGCAGTAGTGACAGGAAGCGCGAGGTGTGTCTTTCGTACGGCCGGCATCAACTCACGCACTGTCCGAAGATGTACTCTGTTTTACTCGTAGGATTGCAACGCTGCGGAATGTAGGCGTGTGATTTCAGAAAGCGCGTCCTACCATTTCTACGCACGAGTGCTCCTGCAACCCAAGCATTGTATACAGTTACGTCCTCGCGCCCGTGCCTTGGCCAGCCCCGTACACAACTAATGCAGTATCGAAAAGGCATAGTTCAAAATTGACGGTCCCACTTTTCCATACCGCTTCAAAACCCCATCTCGCTCAAATCACTTGACAGCCGGACAATTTTGGCAGGGGGCCTCAAGTTGGGGATTATCCGGTACATTGTCCTCCCAACAATGAACGTGGGCGCGACGCGCCAGAGGGTGAACACGTGAAAGGAGGGGCGTAAGAGTGGAGAAGGAAACTCAAGGTCGCAAGCGACGGGAAAAAGGGTTTCGAAATTGGCGCGCAGGTTTTGCAGCATTTGCTCATACGGACAGCCAACGCCGCCCTGGTGGTTCAACTAATGTTTTGTTCAAGATGGCCGCCGTGGTACCGCAGCCTTAAGTTGGTGACAGGTTGAGAGTTGAGGGCGACGGAAAGGAAAGCTGGGTAGGAGGAAGCAGATGGATTGCTGGAGAGGAAGAATTTCCTCTCGCTCCAACCTTCCGCCTGCTTCCTTTTAGAATTTAAATTCGAATCAGGTGTGTCACGTGCTCATTATTTTTCTTTTGAAATAATAGTGTTATAAGTGTGACAATTTTACACCGCGTGCTCAATATTACATTGACAAAGTGGACGAGAGCTTTTTTTAATTGTTGTTTTATAGGGTTTTTAAACATAAAATGTTTCGCGGTACAAAAAATGTACCTTTAAAAACACTCTTTTAAAGAAAAAGTTTCGGAAGAGCTCAATTGTCCACTTCTTTAATGTAATACTAAGCATGCGGTGTAAACATATCACCCTCGAAACTCTAATATTAGAGAACAATGAGAAGTAGCCGGCAATATTTACGCGTTTATTAACATATTAAATAACTAACTTCTGACTATATTCGCTTGAATTAGAACTGCCATTCACACGGGGAAAACATTAGCAAAGTAACTTTGGAATATGCATTTTGAAAGATTCTCTAATAAAATGTTCTTTTGCTTTGTCAAGATAGTTATTTTAAGGCTGAAGCATTAACATTAATTTTCAGATGGTTTTCTATATTTCTTTTCTTAGGTTATTGAGAAGATTTTAACGAACAGTTATTTATTCAACAAGACATGCCAGTCTTTGGCCGACTGATGCAGTGGGTAGTCATGGGTACTGCGCACATTTTCGTCTCCACTGTTGAGTCGCAGTTTGGCCTATGCAGATTGGCCGCCGAGTGGGTGATCCTTCATATCGATGCAGGAGTCAGACGAACACGCACACTTCGTTACAATGCTCGTAAAATATTATTTACCTCGCATTTTGTTTTTTAATTCCTATTAAAAAAAACCCTAATTCGCAATTATTTTGAGTAATCAATGATTAACCACTCGGAAGCAGACTTTCCTAAGTCAATCAAGCCTCCATACGCAGAATGACAATGCTTGAGAAACGGTGGATTTTGTTATTTGTGTGGGTTTACTGAGCGTGTGCTGACGCCAAGCATTCCACACCATCAAGATTGGCGGTCCTAGCAGCCTGTAAATGGGAGCTCGTTGTAAGCATGCACTCTAAACAGCAGCCTCAAATATGACGTGCCGTAAATTCCCCCTACGCGAAGCTCAAGTTCACCTGTTTCTTTTGCATTGGTTGCAATGGCGTCAGAACGCCGAGCTTGATAATGAAGAATAATGGCTAGACCTCGGGGCAGCTTGCTCGAGGTCTACCCACCGTCACCCCAACTCCTGCTTAAAGGAGCGAGCGGTGCAACGATATTGAATTGGAATGTTTTTAACTTTACACGAACTTACTGGCACTAGTGGGACTCAAGGATACTTGCACGCAACGCCACTGGCCAAGGAATTTCTTTGTTGCGGTGTAATTTTAAGGACAAAAGCGATGATTTTCATTCAATCTCTCCTTTGCAAATTTTGATGACGTAACGTGAGGATCGCAATACACCCCAGTGACGATATTTGAATGCGGCTCATTGATTAGACCCGATCAATAGAGAGTTTTAGTAGATCGTTCCGATACCTCCGATAGCCCTGATAACGATACTATGCATGCACAAGGGAGGCGGTGGCGGAGTATCGGGTATCGTTATCGGAGTCATGGGAACGATCTACTAAAACTCTCTATTGTGTGCACACTCGATTTGGGCTCGTGATAATTACCAGCCCGAGAAGCATTCGGGTAGTCACCCGTGTCCAATCGCTGCAACGATGACAATAGCCGAGCCATATAACAATGCCTGGAACTCAGCGCGTGTCCTGTGCGTCGCCAACCTCAGCGCGTGGCTATGATCAACATTGGCGGCATATAATCGGCTCCAGATCGCGTGGCCGCTTGTTCTGGCTGCGAGTTGAGGGGGTGAACGCTGCTCGTTTTTCCTTAATTTTTTCTGGGACTTCTATTGCGTGGGGTGAAGAATGAACTCGTGTTTTATGGGTCATTAACGTCAGGGATTCGTTCTAAGCGGTATTTGCGCAAAGTACAAAAACTGTTGCATCGCCCCTTTAAGAAGCAGACGACTTGCTCTCCGCATGTCCCTTCTGACACCGACGTTCCGATATCTAAGTCAGTTGTCGAGCTTCCAAGGTCGCCTGGTGCGCTTATGTGGCGTGCGCGCTCGGTGGCGCTCGCTACACCATCAGCCCCGCCCTATATATGGACAGAAGCGGCGGAGCTCGTAGAGCGCTGGATGCCCATTACCTGCGCCGGAAATGAATTCTATCGTGGTTTTTATGGTAAACATAAAGTTTCCGCAAAAGTCGGCCGGCGCTAAAAGGGCACTGTTCGAACACAGCCTTTCTTCGGTCGTTGCCCGTGGAGAAGTTGGCGCTGGTGGTGCTAGGATCGTTATCCGCCCGCATCTGCTCGCGTTCAGGGAACAACGGAGAACCCATTTCGAACGCTGCTCTCCCGTACAGCTTGCCAACAGATAGATCTAAGAACGCAGCTTGACACCTCGATGTCACGGGGCACTTCGTCTGTGCACCGCGAGTCACCTGACCCGTCATGTGCGCCACGGAGGAATGCGACATCTGAGTCAGTTTCCTTTAAAATTCAACTCTGCGACCGTAATAATGACTATAGTGACCAGAAAGAATAAAGCGAGCAGGGCGTGCCTTTCCGATGCCCGGCCTGCAGCACGCGCTGCGTGCCTTCTGCCGTGCATTGACTGCGCGCACGCACTCGAGGAGCAATACACGCCGAAGATTTGTCGAAGGTGATATTCTCGTCTTGGAGACGGAGCAACTAAAACTCCACCCTGTCGTTCTCACACTGTCAATGACCATATAAATGAAAAGCCGCAAGCGAAATCATTTTAGTTGCAGTGAAGGTTGGATCGTGGTCGGCCTTCACGTTTATAAAGTTATTTTTATCTGATAACTCTCCATAATCCAAACTGGTGACATCTATCCGAATTCTCGAAATCGACATACGTTCACATCAGCTCCGGAGAACGGGGACAACTTTCCGCCGGATTGAGTAGATTGGTAGAACACCCCGCCGTTCTTGGTCCACGTGGTTGAGTAGGGGAGTTCTCCCCCCAGGTCATAAGCGCAGGTCAGCCGAACCGCTTCGCCCTCTTTGACTGTCCGTGGTATCTGAACGTCGAGGAGCTTCAGCGACGTCGCGGTCATCAGCGTGCCTGCGCATTTAGTTTCATTTCATATTATTTAATTTGATTTTTATTTTACTTCAGAGGCATCTAGCAATGCATCACATGAGCGTGAAAGCCCAACATTGGGAGAAGAAGTAGGATATATACATACATCTAAACAAAATTTATAACTAACGGTAGTAGTCCAGCTCACTTACATAAATACAATAATTGTAACAAGGAAGCTGCCAATACTATACGACGTGCGAAACACTAAGAAGAATGGACACTGTTTTCACAACTCAACGTATTAACACACGCAACGAACACTGCTATTTAAGCTACAAAAAAAAAAAGGAATGAACACCTTAACAAATAAACGTCTCACAACTTAGTTTGAACAACATCATATCTAAAAAAAAGTGACAACGTTTTCGGGGAAACTATACTTCGACTCGGCTTAAAAACCGACATATATTTCGCGCTTTCCACTTTTCCTCGATTCCATCTTTCCAATATTCTCTTCACCTTTCGAGTTGCCCCAACGCCCCAACACAACTGCCCTCGCAGGTTAGGGGAGATTAGCGCTGACAGGACTATCTTCCCTACAGAAGACGGAGCTTGTACGTCGGCCTTTAGCTACAGACGCGGCCGACTCTACGAGGTAATGGAACCAGTCAAACAGCATCAAAAGCGCGATTCTCCAGGCCTGCCCTCTACATGATTGGTCAAGCGTTGATAGAACACGTACAGAAACATGATGAACACCGTGTTGGTGCACTTCTGGCACCGCCTGTCTCATTTGAACCATCATCTCGTTGAGTCGGCTTTCTAGTGTACAAATAGGGGGAGTGGGAAAAACATGAACAAGTTCGTTTGTGATTTAATGGGTTCGTCTTTGCATGAACAATCAACCCTGGCGGATGTGAATCGAGCGGGTGTAAAGTAGTCCCCTTTGAGAAGTGATTCGGTGTTATATACTTTCATAAAAGGAAACACCAGCGAATATTAGTTTTTTTTCCCACGAGCCAAAGTGCAGGAAGCCGTTTGCAATGCTGCGCACGAACTGCTAAGGCTGGTTCACACATTTTTATGAGTGTGATCAAGTGCATTGCTCGCGGACGCATACGACGAAAGGACACACTACCACAGCGCCATCTTCAAGACTGCATTGGAACCATGGAGGTCGGAAGCTTCTGGAGGCGTCATGACGTCACCAGAGGTAAAGCCGGGGAGGTTTCCGGTTTGGAGGGACACGCCCCCCAGTGATGACCAAAAAAGACCAAAACCAAAAAACGCTATTGGACGGAAAGGACAGCTGATTTGGCGCTAAAAGCTCTTTTGGTCAGCCTTGGGTGTGTTCCCACCGACTGCAACCTCTACTTCCGGTTTCATTTGGGAGTTGCTCGTACGGATGGATTGAGCCGGTATGTCGCCTCCTGTTCTTCCTACCTCCGTGCCTGAAACACTTCCGACATGGATATAACGAGACTGAAGGTTTTGTCGTATCTACGCCTTCAAATCTACGCAAGATCTACGGAAAATGGTCGCTCATAACAGTCTCTAAATTATTTTAATCTCAAGTTAAAAACATTACGCTTAAAATTTGAAAGAAAACATTTACGCAGATCTCAATTGTTCCAGGGTTACATAGTAGGTGACGCCAGTGTGCCAATGCATTCTTTAAGCGCTTGCATGCGGACAGAACACACTCGGCCGCACTTAAACGCAAATGTGTGAACCCGAAACCGTTTCACACTTGGGTCAAATTGTGGCGGCATCGCCACAACGTGCTCGTCGAGATGGGCTCAACTCGTTGCTTGTTCGCTTCGCTGCCCCGATAATCCTGTCATATTAGAGAGTTTTCGTAAACCGCGTTTTCCCCTCCTCTAAGCACACCGCAACGAAGAAGCCGCTTCTGCGCCTGCTCCCTGATGGCCTGGACTGTTGAGTTTCGGGTATCGTAGCGTGTTGTGGAGAGCGTTGCAAGTCCGCGAAAACGACCTACAAAAGCTCCCTACTGCGAAGTATCGACGCAATGCGGAAGACAGCGGCAATCTTGCCTCGGTGTGAAAGCTTCCAATAATGGAAACTGCAGCATCTGCGTGCTAACAACGCGTGTTGCCATGGGCTTGCCGAAAATAAAGGATTACAAATTTAGTTCCCAGAATTTTCAAGGGTCGGGTAGTGAATCGTGAAAATTCGGGTCGTTCAAAATTATAAAAGCCTGGGTCTGCGTGAAACATTCACTCGACTCTATCATCATGGAATTAGGGAACACTGAGCAAAGGGCTAATCTTTTGATTTAGGATGGTTGGCTAGCAACAATGGTTAAGAATCTCGAAGGGACGGTTATCGCAAGAAGACAATAAAACCTGTTTCCGCAATTATTTTTTCAACAACTTTGTAAAGACAAAACTTGTACGGAACTTGAAAAAGTTACTACACAAGCCTTTTGGAATGGGATTCGGTGGGTGAGCGAATTTTGTGCCGGCAACTCGACAACACATCTACGCTTGGCTAAAAGAGTGCCCGATCAGTAGAGTGTTTTTCTTTCTAAAAATTCGCGCCACTGGTGGCCTAGTCTGGCAAATGCTATTTAGCAATAATGAAGAGACAATAATGAATGCTTGCTATTCGCGGGGAAACTTTGCTAGGAGCGCTTCTGTGTCACACACGATGGATAGTGCGCGTGCTACCCACGCATTTATGTTTTTTTTTTCATAGTGCAAAAAAAAAAAATTGGCATTGCACTTGCTTGCACCAACTGAAAGAGTTGAAATATCTTCACTATGGGTTGTGAAAAAATTCCACCAGGTGGCGACACCCAAACTTCTTGCCGTGTTTATACTCTGTTCAGCCTTAAGGGCAGAGGGTAAGTCCTATACTCCCCATGCATTTGAGGCTATGTTGAGGAACATTTTTCTCGGTGACTATTAGGAGTATTCCTGTCATGTAAATATCATTTTGTTCGAAATATTGTGTTTTATCCACTGAACTAGAATTATTTGAACCAATCTAAAATAAGTTTTTTTATATATTTTTTATTCTAGTACTGAAATTTTAGTTGTTTTCATCTATTAAAAACTTTATAACTCAAAAACTGCTAGGTGCACATTTTTAATTTTAGTTCAGTATTTTTCAACACCCATGTATGTGGTAGGAATAAAAAATCAACCCTCTATAATGTCGGGTTAAGGAAAAAATGGTACCTATGTACTAAAAAACACTGTTTTGAGATAATTGAGTTTAAAGGAAAAAAACTGGTGAATAACGAATTTCTATTGGCACCAACAGCCTCAGAGTCATTTTTTCAATAGCCGCCAGCTTGAAAGGCATTGCTAAAGTCACGTCGTCGCCTTTAGGCTTATCGCCTTGCTTGCCGGGCCTCTTTCGTGACCTGCCATGTCGCTTGGTCCGTAAAGTATATTAGAGTGACGTCAACTTCCCTCAGCCACTTGATGGCTTTCCAAACAGGGTTCCATCCACAAAACTTCAAAACATTGGCTTGTGCAATGCTGCCACCATTGAAAAAAGGAACAGCATTCGATGGCGCCATTTTGTGGTTACGAAAACACAAACGCTTGAATGTACACAGGGTACACACCTGGGAAAAACGTGCACAGCTTCTCGTGATTGTCTTGGTTGAAATAAAGCTATGCAATAGTTGCAAAATCATTTTTTGAGGTTATCTGTTACTGGACAAGCTTTTAGGACTTGTGTTGATTTTGTTTTGTTGGAGAATTCATCGTTTAGCAGGGAGTGTATCCGAAAAGGAGGCGTGGTCACCTGCTACTTGCTTTCGGAAGAAGTGATTTTCAGCCCGAAATATAGCTTTCTAAAAACACTTGGACAATGAAAAATGTGCAGAAAGAACTAAACTTTTCAAATTGCGAAAAAAACTAAAATCGATTTTTTTTTTAAATTTTACTTTACCCTGTGCCCTTAAGCTGAGACTGCAGCCAAAGCTACAAGCGCGAGCTAGCTCGCGCTCCTGACTTTCAGACGTGCATTTCCAGAGCGAGAGCTCATTCTGCGGAAGAACGCTTCAAAGCAGTAACCTCGAGCTGTGGTGCTTGCGGCATTGGCTGCAGTCTCAGCTTAAGTGTGAACGGAGTAAAGTAAACGATTTCAGAAAAGGTGCCAGCCACGGCCATGAACATTTAAATTGCCCTTAAACTTCAGATTCCCCGCAATGATCGTCCCAGATTATCCCAAAATAACGTACTACCTCACTCGTAAGAAAGGGCCAAAATTGTTGTTGCTGCTACGCTGATTCTTGAAGAAAGTTTCGCGCAGCGGTTATATATCAAAGCATAGTGCTGAGCCTTTTTCCGCAATGTGAGTATTCTTGAAACCCCTCTTCTCCATGGTGCAAGCTGATCAGTTCACTGAGCGTGTGCACCAGGGACGTGCGTGCGATGCTCCTAAAAAGACAAAGCCATTTCGTTGTCAGTATTTCGTCCCCGCAATCGTGCGAACCTTGTGTTGCTTGCATGTTCATATAGCTTTGAAGTTGGCACGCCTCAACGGGTGAGTTACCTCCCAAATCTAGATGATAAATACAGTCAGAACAGCCGCTACTCTGGGTATTTAACCTGCACCACGTAGTAGAGATTACACGAACACATGCCGCTACGAAACTGACCCAGATCGAGACGGGCAGGAGATGGTAATCGAACCCAGGAGGTTCTGCATCGCAAGCTTTCGCTCCACGCTCCGAGCTGAGACGCGTTAGACCACTCCGCCGCCGGAATAGCTCATACTATTGAGATAACCTTTTTCTTTCCATGGTGGAGTAGTTCATTTCTGCCTTTCAAAGGGTTCTGCTCGTATAGGCGAAAACATACCTCTCATGTCCGGCCTTTTGTTGGGCCATTACCGCACTTTAACTAAATCCTCTAGCGTCGGTTTTAATCGATGCAGGAGCGGTGTTGTCGAAGTGCCGCAGTCGTGGCCTCCCACGTTGCCCAGGGGGCGCTGTTAAAAGGAACGTGTTAGGACTGGCTTTGAGTGGTACGAACTTGAGCCTGTCATAACTATGAGTCATGTAGAAGCGTGCCTGCTATGATACGGAACGCGAGATTTCGAGGAAAATACAAATAAACAACAAATTTTAACGCCTTCGAAGCACAGTTTATAAGGCTAAGATTCTGAGAGCGTGAGCCGAAAGATGCCGCTTCACTTGTTGCAAGGTAGAAAGAAAGGGAAGAAAAAAAAACCGCCGGGAAGCAAGATATTTTGATGCCAACACCCAGAGATAAGAGACGCGTACCCTAGCGGTGGTGTAATGAACCCGACACTTTCGATTTTCTTGAGGCGTTGACTCTAAGCGACTTGGGACGCCGAAAAGTGATTTTCCGTTCTTCAGCACTACACATAATGAAAAACGCTCAGCGAAAGAGGCACAAGTAGTGCGAGGCCCCACCAGTTGAGCTTGTACTACCCAAAATGAGGGCGCCGTAGTTTGTTCAAAGCTTCAGAGCAGGAGGCGTATGGGGTCAGACATAAATATATCTCCGGTGATATTTTTGAGCTACCTTATTTAACTATACTTTCGGAATCTTCGGCTTTTACAATTTGTGGTATGCTATTTTGTATCGCGAAATTTAAAATAGTTATTGTGAAATCAGGAAGTGAATTGATGCTAAGACCAACATTCAAATGCACTCCGCTTTTCTACGTCGGGACGTCAAGGGAAAAGCAGGCTTGCAGGATGAGCGGGTACTCTAAAAATAGACTATGCCGAGCATTTCTTTTGTGCTGCTGCGCCGGTGCTGGAGTGAGCTTCCAGAGCAATCATTTGACACCATAAAACTGCTTGTAATCAGTTGAGAACAAAGTCTACAGTCCAAGATGTGAACGCCTGCCTTCCGCTGAAGTCACTTTTTTATTGTTGCCAGTAGATAATTTCACCTTGAAAAACATTGTGAGGAACAAAATTGTAAATCAAACAAATTTGCAAACACAAATAGTTTGGCCCAATATTACTACCTTTTACTATTCGAACGATGTGTGTTGGTGTATTTAGCAAGTTTTCAGGGAAATTGGGGACAATGAAGAAAATTCTCAAGGACCCCTTTACCCCTTCCGTTGAGACGGCAGAACTGTCAGTCACAATTATAAACAATGTCAAAGATCAACTGAACGACACTCTAAAATGCATTGGGGTGCTCTTAATACTAGGGCCTTCCTATTTAAAGTAATTGTGTTGCGTGTATGCTTAGACAGCGGTACGTTAGTCATCTCCAGTGGGTGTCAGGTGTTTCAGCTGTAGATGAGAAATTTAGCCACTGCAGTACCACTGCTAGCCTCGGTAGTTGACGGACATCACGCAATAGTGGCACACGACAGCACGCCGGTACAATGGTACCGCAGATGGGAATGAACAGGAATTGGAGTTGAACATTTTGCTCTGCTCTGAAACGTATACCACTTCACACACTCTGTCATAATTCAGGAAAATGTTAGCGATATCATCATCCCTTGTCAGGCCTAACTGCTTCGTCAGCAAATGGAGAATGTTCCAATAAAATAGAGAGAGAAATATACAGAATTTTGAAGAGAAAAACAAAACATGTTTTTTTACCGCAAAAAAAAGATTTACGCATCGACGAAGGCTTAGTCCGCATTCAAATGTAACGCTAAAGCGCGAGACACATGGACGGCAGAATCGTTCGATCCGACGTCCGAACCGACAGTCCGAACGCCGCTACAGTTTCAGACACGCTTCCGACCTTGCATGCGACACGACGATCCATTCGGCTCCCCCCAGGACCCAGGAGATCCAAGCGTTCCAGCTGACTCCGGAGGTCATGTCTGGTCCCAGATTGACGGTTCAACTCGCACGAGCGAAATTACGAGCTCGTTCTCAATAGCGCGTGCATTCTTCACGGGGGCCATCTTTCTCGAATGGGTCAGCGGGATCCACGCGTCCGGCTTCCCCTCGCCCGTCCCGTTATCGCGTTCGCCTCGTCCCACCAGACCCAGTACGTCATCATGACGTTCGCGGTAGCTGTGCTGTCATTGGCTAGACGCTTCCGACAGTCCGTCTGCCGTGCGAAACTATCTGGCACGTTGAACGCACGCCGGATCGCCGATCCGACGCCTGAAGCGACCAAATTTTTCGGATCAGGCAGTCATGTTGCCGGATCGGACGTCGGATCGGATGGATTTTTTCCGCGCATGTGTCTCGCGCTTAACTGTTCGAACTAGTGACCATACATTTCATAACTCATCGTGGTCTGATTCAAATGCTACAAGTGATTTTCGGGTGTCTCAACGGAGAAGATGTGGTAGCTTCCCCGTTAGCAGACGCCATTTATCGCTCTGGATTCGTTGCCTTCTTGGTCACCATTTTCTTATTGAATATTTCTGTAAATCGCTGATAATCTTTGAATCCCGTGATAGTAAGTTCTGAAATGTTGGCCCCCTGCTCCAAGCGCTAGTGCTATACATTCGAGTCGAGACTGAAGGCCCCAACACACAGTTGCTTAAGGGAGCGTTTAAATCACGGTGTTTCTTTCACCGTGGTTTGAGTGCATTTGACTGCGTTGCGGCTGCGAGAAACCAGGACATCCATGCTTCTTATATCGCACGCCAAGCTATTTCTTGAATTGGATTCCACGCTTCATACGAAGCACAGATGTGCCGACCCAACACAGTCGTACGCACTCAAACACAACTGTGCGTAGGGGGCATGAGCGTTCGATGATGCGCAAATCGGTTTTAAAATGAAAAAAAAAAGTATGTACATATATATATATATATATATATATATATATGTATGTTTAGACATGGTAACTTTTATGGTAACTTTTATGCTGATGTTAAAGACTACGCACGGACCTAACCTATGCGCTTTGCATACTCGTTCAGTCGACCCAATTAGCGGAAACATTGAACACGCCGAATTTCTGTTATTATGCACTGTGTGCCGCCATGAACTCAATCGATACGAAACGTAATGCCACTGGGAACGACGAGCTGCTCAAAGTTTCGGGAGCTCACAAGACACCGAGGAAAAGGTTACGCTCACCCGTGAATAACGAAAGATGGAGCAGAAACTCAGCCAAGAAGATGCGAGCCATTCCGTCGTGTGATATCCGCTCCCTGGCGTGAATGGGACGCTGCGCGAGTGGGGTTCTCTATATATCCTAGCCCCAGCCTTTCTGCCCGTCTAAAAAGTTAAGTAAAAGCTGAACACGTGGTAGTCATCGACGACACCGGCCATGGCTTCCCTTGACCTTGACATCAGCCTAATGTTCAGTGTATAGTACCGTGGGAAAACCCGCGGGCGAAAACACTTTGGCACCGTGGGAACGAGAGGATGTCTCGGAGAAAACAACCTTGACGCTTTCGTTTTGCGCACTATGGAAAAAAAAACAAAAAACCTCTTAAAGACAAGTCTACCATAAAGATGGCGATATTTATGGTACGATTCAGCACTTTGACTTTTCGCAAGCTTGGCTTGTTTATGTCGCGAGGCCGGGTAATCCAATACAGGCAGATTAATCCTTATGTCACGCCAATTCCCCATCGGGCGGCTGGTAAGAGGATTGTAGTCTCCCTCTCCATCTCTCTTTCTCTCACTCTTTCTCTCTTCCTTAATCACGCATACTCGAGCTTTGACCAACACCCTCTAGAAAACAAGTCCTACGGGTGACGTATTTCTTAATGGATCCTCGAGCTACCCCCAGGGGCAAACACCCTGCAGCTTGATGACGAGAGTCGCAGCAGAGGGCAGACGCATCCGTCTTGTCGTCCGCGTGTGCTTGCGTAGCGCTCATTTGTGAGAGACCACTAGACGCGCTGCTGGCGACGCTGACGCAAGCCATTTATGTCTTTGACTGTCGGAGCTCAGCTCTTGAGGGGTTAAAGTAACGCAGACATGTTTAACTCGTCGTCGACTCACTCAGACGAAATTCAACAACCTTGAACACCAAATAGAACTTGAGCGAATGATATTTGAGAGGCGCACGCGCGATGCTAGTGGACAAAAGGGTGCACTGACTCGCCGGTCAGATAAATGTCATTCTATGAAACTGACATTATATTTGCCGTGTGGCACGGGCATTACAGGGGGCGGGTGTGTTCTGTTCCGAAATGTTTTACAAACCTCAAAGCTTTGAGCGAAAAAAGAAATTGCTAAAAGGATTATTGTTGGTAATCCTTTATGTGTTTTTTGAAAATGAGGACAACCAAAGCTCATGTACTATAAAGCTGTACTTCGGTGGCTGCGTTTGTATTGCTGTGATACCTTTCCTAGTAAAAATCACGACTTTGGGTTGTAGCTTAATGGGAAAAAAAGGGATATAAATTCTGAGGAGACTACTCCAAACTACGTGCATTGAGCGCTGCATTTAGACACCTTTTAAAACACCAAGCGCGCCTACTTTTCCTGGTAGCACTTGAAATGCAAGTCACGCAATTTACGGCGCAGGTAGTCGGCAAATGCTCAGCCACCGTTTTCACCTAAAGGTCAGGTGTACACTGTGACACTAAGCTTGACATTTCCCACGATCACATAATGTTCAGTGTAGAAGTATTACCTACTTTGTGGTCGGAACTTTTTTTAGACCTTTCTTTGCCAAATTTTTCTCTTTGTGTTTCGCGGACTGACTCAGTGCATGCCCTGGAAATGCCAGGAATATTACGAACTTTAAACAAAAGGCGTTTATATAGAATCGGTGAATGAGCGCACGTCAAAAAACGCGCGCAGAGTCGAAACTAAAAATAAAAAAAAAAAGAAAAACAACAACACCTGAGATTCGCTTAATCCTATATATCTGGATTCGGACAATTTCATCCTACGGTCCAAGTGCGCATCGTGCAAGTCCGAATTGGGGATACAGAGATTCTTAAATTTATTTCACTTTCCAGAAAAAGATCTAGTTGAGGCAACGTCTCGAATGAGATTAGCCCATGTCCGATTGATGACTGAGTTGACTTGGAATTTTCACTAACCGCCAATTTTGAGCTTGTCCCAGCCGCTGGTGCAGCAACTTTGTGATGCTGTCATACCTTGCGGATGGTTTTCGGTGTGTGTGAACTTGGCTGTTCAGCAGCCGTGATTCTCTCGCGTCGACATGATTGATTGAGGCTCCAACGTAAATAATCGGTCGGCTTTGTCTGGTTCCACGAGCAGTGGGCGTCTATTGTATCGCCGACGGCGTAGGTTGGTTTTGGGTCTCGTTCTGGAAAATTGTTTTCGGTATACGGCTGTGACGGACTGCAATCCTGGTATGCGGCCTCTTTATTGTATATCATTATGAATAGTAGAGTAATTGATTCTTTTCAAAAGTGATCACCATCTAGTAGCTGCTGCGCAATCAATCCGAGTCCGTCAATGTTCAAGCAGATACGCTGAGCATGTATTGGACAGGAGAGTTGCGTCAGCTTTCAGTGACGACTATGGCGCACCGTGCATTCGCAAGGGCGCCTATCAAACCACTCTGGCACAGTTGCCGCGAGGCGGCTATGCTGTTGCCTCGCCTCAGACACGATCACACGGTCGTGTCGCCGCGGGGCCGATCGGGATCTCGAATTCGGCTCCCGAAGTGCCGCTTTCTCTTCTAGCCACTGGATGGCGCTGCAGGCGCCCCCGTGGCGGGCGAGGAGAAACCTCCTCGCCCATCGATCGAGAGATACTCGGTGGGCCAGGGGGCGAGAGGCCCAGTGTTGGCAGATTGGGCTATATATAGCCAAATCGGGCTACATTTTTTTCTAGTGTGCGCCGAAATTTCGTGGTTGGCTATGTGGCTATTTTGGGCTATTTCTAAGAATCTGGCCAACTTTTGTCGAACCTGAGGTTCGACGCCGAACTTTGAGGCTTGGCTAGTTAATTTTCGAACTTTTAATGAGTATCGAAAAAAAATAATAGTTTCTCTTTTGGCTAGTCGAGAGGAGAGAGAGGAAGGAGAAAGGCTTTAAACTTCTACAAACTTCGGGGTTTTCACAATGCACAGTGAAGCAATGCTTGCAGAGTTCAAGCCGTCGCCCTACAGTGCAGTGGAGCAAACCAAACAGGTTGCACTATTTCCACAGGCCCGGTAGCGCGCTTTCAACTCGGACCCATATGGCCCAGACATGTACAAGTTACTAAAAAAAAAGTAATTAAGTTAAGTTACTGAGTATTGACGTCAAAAGTAATTTGAGTAGAGGAGAAATTACTCAAATAGAAAGTAATTGAGGAAATTACTAATTGCCGTAAAAGAGTCGCGAATTACCTTCCAAGTTACTTTTATATGTTTTTTATGGTAAAAAGAAAGTTCAGAGGTTTTGATCCGTGAGCGAAATTGTGTTAGCCAAATATGAATCGGCTCGTTTTTTTTTCACAGAAACGCTTTAATAGCTGGTTCTGTTTCCGTGTGCCTAATTGTTTTGCACTCTCTAGTTTGTTTTGCCAATGATGTACTGCGAATGTGTCATTTCTACTTTAAGGTTTAGCACTGTCTGAGCTTGATTTTTAAGACAGTGCTTGCTTGTTTACAGTGTTTCGTAAAGTACATCTAAAAGTACTTGGAGTAAAGTACAAAGTAAATGAGAGCCTGTTATGTACTTCAAGTAAAGTGGTATGTACACCGGGTGCAAACTACTTGAAGGAACGTATATAAATACAATATATTTTAAGGTAAAGTACAAGCACTTTTAACACAATCTTTTATGATGCCCTTTCATTCCCTATACAGTGTTGTTTTTAACTGGTATGCATTGCTCCATCGGAGATGCATCGGTTTTTTTACGGAAATGGCAGCAAATATTGTATAAGGTCAAGTCGCCACAGAGTAGTTGTTTTACTCTCGCTGACGAGCTATTTGACACAATCAACTTATAAGGCACTGATTTCCATCGGTCTTACAGCCGCCATTACTTCACTCAGAGAAATGACCAGATGACGTCACGAAAGAACGCGTTTTTACACGACGACACCGCCGTTTTTTTTTTTGTTTTCATATTCGAGGAATGTACATTGAAGTCGGGAGTTTTCTTCGGAAAATACAAGTACATGCTCAAAGAATTTACTTCAAGTAAAGTACAATTTTTTCTAAACAGTAGTACTTTAAGTACCATCTACATAGAGTAGTTCCCAACACTGCTTGTTTAATGTTTTTTTTATATAAAAACGTTGGGAGAATTACTACAGGTTTCTCGAACGATCTTTGAATCTTTGAACATCTGCATAATCTGAGTTTTGAGAGGAAAGGCAACGCAGAAAGGTAATCTTTGCGTTGCCCTTTAGCACGCGACTTTTCGAGTACAGCACAAACTACGGGAGCACCAGATGAGTTTCAAAGCAGGTGCTCCATTTTGTTGCCTCCTTTGAGTGAGGATGCAGTGTGTGTACCCCTGTAGTGGGCAAGAGTTTCTACGTTGGGGAGAATGAGAGACCAGCCCTTTCTTCAAATGGGTCAAGTCTTCTTGAGCTTCGGGACACAAAGAAACGCCAGTCTTCGGCGCTAATCCAGCATTTACTCGGCCCCCCTTGCGTCGTGTCTGTTCGCTCTCCGCGCCTCGTAGCAGTGTTGTTGCAGTGTGTGTGTGTGTGTGTGGAGGGGGGGGGGGGGCTTGTGAAAATTCGGGGGGTTTCGGTCTCTCCAAACCACCCTGCGCTACATGCTTCTCTTTCTTTGCAAATATCAGCTGATCTTCCAACATCGTATCTCCTTTGTGCAGGAATCTTTGTTGATTGGCAAAAAAACCACTAGAATTCGAAAATAATTTGTAACTTGAGTAGAAGTTACTCACGAAAAGTAATTAAAGTAAACTACTAATTACCGAAATAAAAATGTAATGGCAAGTTACTAACTACCGAGAAAAGTAGTTAAACTACAGTAACTTGAGTAGAGTAGTTGAACTACGTACAAGTATTATGGCCCTGCCCGGATGTAGACTGAACTCCCCAAATGCTGCGTTGGTGCCTATTGTGAGAATCCTTAGGCACCCAAGTTTGTAAAAATGAAAAGCCCGCAGTTTCACCGCTAACCACATGACTACCTCCCAGTCGTTGCCCACCCCAAGAAAGGATAACACAATCAGAAATGACGTGAACATGAATGGGTGACACTGATATTCTTCACAAAGAAAAAGGGACGGGCGGGATATTTCTAAGGACCCTGGT